CTCACCTCTGTCTCCCAGGTTGGAATGCAGCGGCGCGATCGCGGCTCACTTGCAGCTCCGCCTTCCTGGTTCAAGCGATTCTCCTACCTCATGCCTCCCAAGTCAGGCTGGGGCGTACAGGCGCTGCCACCACGTTCTGGCTAATTTTTCTTCTTTTTTTTTTTTTTTTTTGAGACGGAGTTCGGCTAATTTTTTTTACTTTTTAGTAGAGAGAGGTTTCCACCCATCTTGGCCAGGCTGGTCTTGAACTCCTGACCTCGTGATCACCCCCGCCTCGGCCATCCCAAATGCTGGGATTGCAGGCGTGGAACCACCGGCGCCTAACTTTTTTCGTATTTTATTTAGAGACAGGAGTTTCACCAGTTAGTGTCCAAGCTTGTCTCACTCCTGACTCAGGTGATGCCACCCGCCTGGCCTCCCCAAAGTGCTCGGGATTACAAACCTTGGAGCACAAAAGCGCTCCGGGGGCCACCCCTTTTTTGTTTTTTGGTTACGTGCTATATATCTCTTATGGCTTTTTTTCTTCTGAGTCTAAAGTGCTGGGATTACAGGCGTGAGCCACCGCGCCTGGCCCAATCCTACACTGTTTCTTAAATCGCCTACTGGGTTCCACATATATGATGATTTGTAAATTAGTAGAGTATACCAGGTGCCAGGATCATAATATGGAAGGCAGTGTAACGTGGCAGTTAAGAATGTGGACTTTGAAGTCAGGCAACTCAGGTTGGAATCCTGGCTTGTCACATACCTTGAACAACACCTAACAATAATACTTCTTTTTTGGCTGGGCACAGTGGCTCACGCCTGTAATCCCAGCACTTTGGGAGCTGAGGTGGGTGGACCACTTGAGGTCAGGAGTTCGAGACCTGCCTGGCCAACATGATGAAACCCCATCTCTACTAAAAATAACAAAATTAGCCGGATGTGGTGGCGTGTGCCTGTAGTCCCAGCTACTCGGGAGGCTGATGCATAAACAATCGCTTGAACCCGGGAGGCGGAGGCTGCAGTGAGCCAAAATTGCACCACCGTAGTCCAGCCTAGGTGACAAAACAAGACTCTGTCCCAAAAAAAAGGCTGGGCTCGGTGGCTCACACTTGTAATCCCTGCATTCTGGGAGGCCAAGGCAGGCGGATCACCTGAGGTCAGGAGTTCGAGACCAGCCTGACCAATATGGTGAAGCCCCGTCTCTACTAAAAATACAAAAATTAGCTGGGGCTTGTAGTCCCAGCTGCTCGGGAGGCTGAGACGGGAAAATTGCTTGAACCCAGGAGGCGGGGGTTGCAGTGAGCCGAGATCGTGCCACTGCACTCCAGCCTGGGCGACACAGCAAGACTCTGGCTCAAAAAAAAAAGAACTTCTTTTTCTGTAAAATGGGTTGATAGGGCATGAGGATTAAATAAGCCAATCTGTGAAGTATACAGGAGTGTAGATCTAGACCAGTGCGCAGCCAGCCACTGCTTGTAAACTCCATCTTATCCTCATTTTACCTTTACCTAGAACAGACAATATCAGTGAAGCTGCTATCTATGCTTGTGTTAAAGCGAATGCCCAGTACAAAAGCCAGGCTTTACTAAGGTCCACAGCAGGTCCATGGGGCTTCTACCGTAAGAACTATATTTTTCCCTAATTGTGACTATTTTTGTTTTGCAGCCACAGGTGGAATTAAGAAATCTGGCAAAAAGTAAGCTGTTCCTTGTGCCTGAGGAGATGGTGACCCTTTATTTCATCCTTATTTAAACGTCTATATTCCCTGCCATAACATCTTTTGCCACCTAAAGCTGGAATTAAGTGTTGTCTTGGAGCTGTTGTACATTTAAGAATAAACTTTTGTAAAAAAAAAAAAAAACTTACAGTGGTTCGTCATCTCTTTAGTTGTTTTCACTAAGTCATTCCTACCATAACTGTGAATTTAAAGTAAAACCAGCTCAGAACCTTGCCAGAGTCTGCTCTTTGGTCTTTGTTCTACCCTAAACTTTGTATCACCTGAAATTAAACCAACTCGTTTGAAAGGATGTCCTTCTCGTGTGGTTGTATGCCTGACAATACCTTACATGAGGTTAGTGGAAGAATTTGCACGTTTTTTTCTTGGTGGGGGAGGGGGTGGAGTGCAGTGGCATGATCTCTGCTCAATGCAACCTCCACCTCCCGGGTTCAAGGTGTTCTGCTTCGGCCTCCCAAGTAGCTGTGGTTACAGGCACCTGCCACCATGCCTGGCTGATTTTTTGTATTAGTAGAGGGGGGTTTCACCATGTTGGCCAGGCTGGTCTCAAACTCCTGACCTCAAGTGATCTGCCTGCTTCAGCCTCCCAAAGTGCTGGGATTACAGGCATGAGCCACTGTGCCTGACCAGCATTTGTGCTTTTAAAACCCATCTTTATGTTGTGACATCCAGATTGCCGAATGTTTTGGTGAGACTTGTTCATCTGTTCATGTAAGGCGTGTGCTATATGCAGGCACTGGGGTACGTACCAGGGAACAGTTCCTGTTGTCAAGGAACTTATCTACTGTGGAAGAGGCAGGGCAGGGCAAATGATATGATCCTCCAAGTTGCTGGCAGTGAAGTCCCCATGCCCACCAAACAGGTCCAGGGCAGCAGCTGCAGGAAGCCCCAGCCCACTTGCTGGTGGATGGAGGGGGTGCCGGTGCCAGTGCCAGGCAAGGGGTTGGGGGTGAGGCAAAACAGGGGCTCACTCTACCTCCTGCTGCCCAGGACTGGAGTCCCAGGCATACCTACCGCTTGCCCCTCACTAAATGCAAAGACAGAGACCATAATGTATGCTAAATATGTATTAAAACGCTTAGCTGGGTGTGGTGGTGCACTTCTGTAGTCCCAGCTATTTGGGAGGCTGAGGTGGGAAGATCACTTGAGCCCAGGAGTTTGAGGCTGCAGTGAGCCAAGATCACACCACTGCACTCCATCCTGGGAGACAGAACAAGACCCTGTATTTTTAAAAAAAATTAATTCAGAAGCACAAAGAGAGCTCTGGAACCATTATGGGGCTTTGCTAAATCAAAACTAGGTTTTAGAATATTTAAAACTGCCGGGCGCGGTGGCTCACGCCTGTAATCCCAGCACTTTGGGAGGCCGAGACGGGCGGATCACAAGGTCAGGAGATCGAGACCATCCTGGCGAACCCGGTGAAACCCCGTCTCTACTAAAAAAAATACAAAAAACTAGCCGGGTGAGGTGGCGGGCGCCTGTAGTCCCAGCTACTCGGGAGGCTGAGGCAGGAGAATGGCGTGAACCCAGGAGGCGGAGCTTGCAGTGAGCTGAGATCCGGCCACTGCACTCCAGCCTGGGTGACAGAGCGAGACTCCGTCTCAAAAAAAAAAAAAAAAAAAAAGAATATTTAAAACTTTCATGATTAATGTACTAGATATTAACCGCAGGATGAGGGGGCGGGGGGAAGCCTGTGTTGGTCCTCTCCAGAAAGTTGCACAGCCAGGAGCACCCTTCTATAGGCTTCAGGCATTCCCTATGGGGCCTTGCCAGCTGGCACCCAGCCGTATGCTGCTAAAACAAGCCTGAGCACCAGTGATTGACACTGTTCGTGAAAGCAAGTTACTTGGTGGAACCTATCCCCCTTTAACAAATGAACAATCCTGTCTCTTTCCAGGACCAGAGTCCTGCAGCAATTAAGCATGCAACATTTGGGCAGCTATCTGAGGGAGACTACCAGTTACTCCAAAAAACTTTCAACTCCTTAGACACTGAAGGCCCTGATAGCACTCTCTTTTTCATTTAATCTTTTTATTTAATGCCTTCACAAACATTCCTAGGACACTCACAGGTGAAGTTTGGCACTGAGCAGGTAAGGCTGAAAGGGTCTTGCTCCTGTTACTCTCCATTGCCAGTTCTCTATTGCGGCTGTTCTGCACACCACAGCTGCCCAATAAAATGTGTCAGGCACGCAAGCTCACCTCAAATTGCTGCTCCTTTGTGAAGCTTTACCTCTGTCTTCGCCACAGGTAACTGACCTGGCCTTTCTGTGGCTTCCCTTTCAATGTAGAATTCTCGTGTTAGTCTTATGTGCCGGCCTCCTACCCCTCTATCCTGCTAACTTGACTCACCCTGTAGGACAGCCCAGGTGCCATTTACAGAGGGACTTCCTTGACCTCCTGAGCCCTATTCTATGCAACCAGGGCTTACAAAAAAAAAAACACTCCAGCACTCAGAGGAATGAATGTTAACAGCCTGGGCAGCTCCCACCCCCTCCCACACAGGAACAGCTCCAAACATCACTCCTCCTTGGACTTTCCTCCTCCCTAAGCCTACCTCAAATGTACATATGTGAAACATTCACTATACCCGAAGATGTCTGCACACGACAGCTCTATTCATACTCCTCATCCAACAAATTACACTCTCCTCAAGAAAGCCTCGGGGCTTGTAGGAAGTAGGTCTGGCGGGAGAACGAAAGCGAGGTCACGGAGACCACATCCCTGAATGCTGCCTGGCTCGACTCAAACGCAACACGCGTTAAATGCTAGGGCAAGCTGCTCCTGCGCAGCCCTCCTCCACAGAGTGCCAGGGAGAGAGCGTAAAGCCACCCGCGAGGCGGAGCTGGTGCGCCTCCGACCCGCGCCTACGGTAACCGGTCGTGCGGGACTGAGTCCTTGCAGCAAACCTGCCAAATTCCAGCCGTGGACCTCTGAACACCCGGCAGGGCCGGGTTTGGCGGCGCGCTGGGACTTCCGTCATTCTTCCGCGCCCTCCGCCTGCCAGCTGATTGGCCCCTGGGCCAGGGGCGGGGCACTCGCTGTGGAGGCAAGCTGCGGCGCGCGGGCGGTTGGTCCGGTTCTCGGGCCTGGCGGTAGGCAAGTCTGGCTTGTCGCTGTCGGATACTTGGGGTGAGCGGAAAGCATGGCGGGGACCTCCGCGCCAGGCAGCAAGAGGCGGAGCGAGCCCCCGGCGCCTCGCCCCGGCCCGCCGCCGGGCACCGGGCACCCCCCTAGCAAGCGGGCCCGGGGCTTCTCCGCGGCCGCTGCCCCGGACCCTGACGACCCGTTTGGCGCGCATGGGGACTTCACTGCCGACGACCTGGAGGAGCTTGACACCCTCGCGTCACAGGCCCTGAGCCAGTGTCCGGCCGCGGCTCAGCACGTGTCCAGTGAGTGCTCCTCGGGGCCTTTTTCTCGGAGGGAGTTGCAGACCGCGCCAGATCGCCTTGATGGCTGTGGCTTCGGAGCCTCGCGGCCAGCACTGCCCTTTCGCCTTTTTAAAATATGGGAACACTCTGATTTAAGCAGCGGTTGTCTTCCAGAAGGTCCTTTGATTTTAGGGGGAAATAAATTAACCAGGTCATACAGCAGATTTTGAAACATAGAACGCTAAGTTGACATTTTACTTTATTTTCTAAAGTTTAGGCCACTTGGTTCTTGGTTCTAAGCAGAGATCCTTGCAACACACCTACCACCACCATCAGAACCATCACTACCCATGCATGAGGACCCATTCTTGTGACAAGTTTGAGCGGCTTTAGATCTTATGAAGCCCACTGTCTCCCTTGGGCAGTGTTAGCATGGGAGGAGTCTGACACAGGCAAGAGATGAAATAAATTTATTCTTTTATACAACCAGTAAACTGCTAGGTGCCCAAACGTGAGGAACTGCAACTGAGCTAACAATGAACAAAATACAAAAACTCCTTCATGGAGCTTACATGCTAGTTGAGGAATGAGTGAAGTCTTGAGGACTCCCAGAAAGAGAAAGGTTTTGAGTGCACCTTGCATCTATACTTGGGTGTCTCAAGGCACCTTAAACTCAACACGATCATTTCCTGGAAACCCAGTCCTCCTCCAGCATTTCTAGCATGGTGCCGGCAAAGCAGACATTCAGAGAATGATGACCACAAGGAAGTAACTAGCACCACTCTCCATCCAGTGGCACAACTCTACATTTTTTTTCCTTGACTCTACATCTAATTTCGTTGCAAAGCCTGTCAAGCTTACCTTCTTAATCCTTCTCTGGACTCTTATCACTTCTACCAACTGCCTGATCTATGCTGCCATGAGTCCTCCCTTGAACAATAGCCTGCTAAATTGGTTTCCCATTTCCAGTCTTGACTCCCTACAAGTGAGGCTTCACATTACATTCTGAGTGATCTTTTCAAAACTCAAATCTGGCTGTTATCTTATATACATAACTATTATCTTATATACATGAACACCCCAATTTTTTTTTTTTTTTTTGAGACGGAGTCTCACTCTGTCACCCTGGCTGAAGTGCAGTGGTGCCATCTTGGCTCACTGCAGCCTCCACCTCCCAGGTTCAAGCGATACTGCCTCAACCTCCCTAGTAGCCTCAGCCTCCCAAGTAGCTGGGATTACTTGTGCCCGCTACCACGCCCAGCTAATTTTTGTATTTTTAGTAAAGACGGGATTTTGCTGTGTTGGCCAGGCTGGTCTCAAACTCCTGACCTCAAGTGATCCACCTGCCTCGGCCTCCCAAAGTGCTAGGGTTACAGGCGTGAGCCACCGCACCCAGCCGTGAACACCCCTAATGAAAGCCCTTTAATAATTTCCCACTTCTAGTGTAAAGACCAAAATCCTTAACATGGCCTGCAAGGCCCAGCCTGATTTGGCCCTTTCTCACTCTCTGGGTTCTGGCTGCACTAACTTTCTTTGAATTCTCTCTGCTTCTTTACAATACAGGAACTTTATACATTGTTCTTTCTTTGTACTTTGAGTATACTTTCCATTCATTCATCTCCACTTATCTGGTTAATTCCTACCTGTCCTTCAGCTCTCAGCTCCTTCAAGTCTTCCCTAGGGAAATGTTCCAGTCATCCCACGTAAGTCAGATTGCTGTCATATTACAGACTTTCCTGTATTTGTTCTCTTCTGCAGTTCTTAATCACAGTTATAATTTTCCATTTATCTGTGTGATTATTTGTCAAATGTCCTTTAAGCTCTGTGAGTGTAAGGACAGTATCAATCTTGCTCGCCATTGTATCTTACATCTAATTTCGTTGCAAAGCCTGTCAAGCTTACCTTCTTAATCCTTCTCTGGACTCTTATCACTTCTACCAACTGCCTGATCTATCAGGTGCCATTTACAGAGGGACTTCCTTGACCTCCTGAGCCCTATTCTATGCAACCAGGGCTTACAAAAAAAAAAAACCTTCCAGCACTCAGAGGAATGAATGTTAACAGCCTGGGCAGCTCCCACCCCCTCCCACACAGGAACAGCTCCAAACATCACTCCTCCTTGGACTTTC